TGCTGCTGCTGCTGCTGTTGCTGTTGCTGCTGCTGCTGCTGCTGTTGCTGCTGCTGCTGCTGCTGCTGTTTGCTTGCTGCTGTTTCTGTTGTCTTTATCTTTGTTATTCTTGTTGTTGTTGTTGTGTGGTGCTGCTGGGCCTAGTGCATCTAAGCAGCAGCAAATGCTTCAGTATTGTTAGAAGCAAATAAGCAGCAGCGCGTGTTGAGAGTTTTATAAAAACAAAATAAAAATAAGAGAACAGCAGCAGCTGGTGGGTGGATGAGCTGACGACAGAAACCGCTACGGTGGTGTGTACGTACACCTGAAACAGCAGCCACCGGGTGTATATGCAGCTCGAGAGAAATAGAGAGAAAAGAGAGTTTAAATATTCTTGTATAAGCAAGTAACACTCCACCAACGAAACTATGCTGGCGTGTATATTATGTTATATGTATATATAGACGATACATACAGAAACCAGCAGCTACAGCAGCAGCGAATGCAGCAGTGAAGGCGTTGAGGAATTTGTATATACGAGAAGAAGATGCTGATGAATAAAAAACCAAAAAAGAACAGCTTTCTCTCTTTTTTTTTTATCTGTTGGTGGTAAGCAGAACACAGGCGGAGCACATCGTCTATAAGCTTGCGGGAGAAAAGAAGAAACTGAGGGCCAGCAGAGCAGTCAGTACACTACAAATAAATAAATTATAATACTATAATTATAATTTATAATATTTTTTAAGAAAAGCAAAATCTGTTGCTTTATAACTAAGCGAATGGAAGCTTAGGCTTTCGTTCATGTTCAGGTGTACATGCACCTCACCGGCGCCCGCTGCCGAAAGCAGAATTTTTTAGGAAAAAGTTTGTCGATTTGTTCATAAAATTTAACAAAAGTTAATATTTAATTAAATTTAATTACTTTTTAACCGAAAGAAATTTTGTTTTCATCAACAGAAACGGAGATATAGGCCCCTGTATACCCTAGGCACTCAGCCAGGCGGTGAGCTCGCACGCTCTATAGTGCAGCTTTTTTGTGTTCTTCTTTAGATGATCCATGAAGAAAATAAAAAATAAAAAGTAATTAAACACAAAAATTATATTCTTTATCTTCTCCCGCTCTTATTAAACCCAAACACTTGCAGAAATTCAGCTTTCTATGCATCGTGTATACACTCCTGTACAACACCCTGATCACTCCTCTATATCTTCACAGCAACCCAGGCTAATGGGGTGTATATACACTAAACATAATATTATAATATATATGTACATGCAGCAGGGTTTCAGCTCTCAGGTGTACACGCACAGTAAGCATATGATGCAGGTGTATATATACAGTGTATATACAGCTGTGAGGTGTATGTACACCAGAAAGCTTACAGCTATATATAATATATAATACACTAGAATCAAGGTTTATGTGTTTAAGTTAAGATAAGGATGTTGTGGTGTATATACAGCTCCCAATTGTAAATACATACATCTTCTTCTCTGTATCTTTTTTCTGTTTCACTACAAAGATAAAACAACTAAACCCACTTTATGAGCCTTCGCTGCAGAATTGCTAACTGCTGCGGCTGCTGCTGCTGCTGCTGCTGCTGCTGCTGGGGTTTGTTTGTCTGTGGCTTGTCTTCATTTCTGCTTCACACTGAGAAGAGAAGTGCAGCAACCAACAGACTGTCTGTACAGACACCCGAGCGGTGGCTGTCGCCGCTCTTACACTCTAATATATATATATATATATAT